GCTTTTTTTTTCTTTTTTAAGCATAACTCACTCACACTCACCTAGATCTCCTCTAAGAACGTGAGCTGATGCCACAAGTACTTCAAGCATGTAACTGCATTATTTGTCCCTTTTACCAAACGAACCTATGACGACTTCAGTCTTTCTACCTCACAGACAACCACACAAGTTCATATTGTTAATGGACACAACTGTATAATTACCACATTGATGCCTGAAAAGTAACTCACTTAGCATTCAGTCAGAACAAAGACGGAACACTAGATTTCACTTAGTTCCATTCAGGATGTTTTTTCACTTGTCAATATGTTCAGGCCTCATTCTTCTCTTGGCCCCTGTCCAACACAACCTGCCTTCCTGCCCATCACTATGTACAGCACACACTCGAGGAAATTTTTTTTCCTTTTAATCTGGACTACTAGTTCCATGTTTAGAGAGAAAAAAGAATGCTTGCCGTGGGATATCTGAAATTCTGCCATCCAGCAGTACATATTTGAGGATTACTTATCTCAGCAACTACAATTACATGCATTTTAAGGGTATTCTGACATCCCCCCCCAAACATATCTTATAAATCAATTATACTTGTGTTTACTTTTAAAACTCATGTTCTCAAAAAAATCTTGAATTAGGAAATCCTTTCCCTTTTTAAGGATTATAGTGACATAGTCTTAGAAGGGGACTAAGTAAGGAAGCTGAGATAAAACATGAAACAGGGCTGATGAAGGTTATTTTTCCTATAAGTTTACTAAAGACCTAAGGACTAAATTTAAGCAGATAAGTGGCTACCACCAATATCATTTCCGCCAATATATGAGAAAATAAACTCAGACTCATTTTTTCCATAGAATCTTACCAACAATCTTTTTTAATTTCGAGTATAATAGTAGCACCTTAAAAGAGAGGGAAGACAGTTCAACCGCTTTAGCTCTTTGCTGTTTTCTCATTTAAAAAAATCATTTCACATTGATCTAATGAAACATGTAAAAGAAGAAACTAAGTGGGAAATACAATCATAGATTGTAGGTCACCTCTGTTGCAAGGCTTCTACAGAGAAAAGCCTATTCTTTTTGGTTTGCCTGTTGTAACTGACAGCTAGCTGATCATCTGGTTTCTAGTACTGAATCTAAGAGAATCCCTTCCTGAAAATCTGTGTTTCTTTATAGTGGTTCAAGTAAGTGTGAGTGGTGGCAAAACCTCAAATGCTTGGGTAGATAAGTACTGAAACATCTAGTCACTTAGTGAAAAGGTTTCATTTTGAAAGGACCCTGACGAATGAATGATATTTCCAGAATCTACTGTTACTAATTAAAAAAAAAAAAGGCTATCTCTTATTATCTTTCAGGCAATGAGAAATAAAATCAAATTCACATCAAACAAAGGAAATAGAAACTAACTTAAAAATGTTTACTTAGTTTGTCTGATTCTTGGTCTGATTTTGCAGACAGGCATGGTCTTAATCTGTGAGTGATGGATTTGCTCTAAATATAGGTCTGCAGGGACTGCAAAGAACAACTCCTGAATCCAGCTCCAAGCTGTTCTGGAAGTGCCCCACTTGGTGAGGTGTGCCATGCTTCCAATTTAAACAGCTCAACAGACACACAGGTTGGATTTTTAAAATCTGTGTGAAACATAGCCAGTAATGTTACTTCTACTATGAAAACTAATTACTAGTTTCTTAGCCTTATAGCTCTTAAAACCAATTACCACCACTTTATTTTACAATGAACTCAAGACCCCAGTCCTCAGAGGGTGAAGGTCCGTCAGTGTTAGGACATGAAGAGTTTGACAGTGACATTCAAAAGCAATCTTAACAACTGCTCTTTTGAAACCAGTCCTTACCATCTGCTCTGATGGTGCTCTTGGAAGCGCTTGAGTGGAATTTAGGAGACACCGGACAGGAGGTGAAGGGTGCAGACAAGGGTGATTTTGTCAGGGCATGTCACTGGCATGGCGCTGAAAACCCACAGGGCTCTGCAGAATCGCTCCCCAGAGCTCTGTCCCCAGTGATTGGCTCAGGCTTATCAACTGCTGGAATAGGCTTGTAAGACTCTAGTCCTAATGTTGCTATCTTCATTTAGTTGTTCAGAACCAACAGCGCAAAAAGGCAAGCAAAGACAAACAAGTTGTGTGTCTTTATGTGTTTTGAAATCACTACCTTTAGTCTTCTACTGAATTCACATCTCTCTCATCTCTCGGTTGCAGCATTTCTGAAGATTCACTAAGACAGTGGTCTGAAGGCCTGACAGCCAATTCACAAGAGTATTATTTTCTACCAGTCACGTAAGTAATACTGCTTATGGCAAACAGCTACAATGGTTTTCTTTATACAAGAGTTCAGTACATACTTGCTGAGTAAATGAATAAAACAATGACTCAATTAACTGGTGTAACATTTTGATGAGCCAGTAAACATTTGTGAATCTTTCTATAGCTGACCTAGAATGAAGTTTTCCCACGATGTAATGCAACAAATCTGATTCTTGTGACAATGGAGTGGTATCAGAATCTTTGTTTGTTAGGCGTTTTCTCCAAAAGGCTACACTTGAATAGACAGACATTCAATAATATTTACTAAATAAATCACAATATATAAATTATACAAGATTAAGTTATACAGGTTTAGTTATCCACATAACAACTCCATAAAAGCATATGTCCCCTGAAAAACGTCATTTTTAAAGATAAATACCACTAAAATGAAAAGCTTATCTTAAGAAGAATTCATGCATGCTTTGTGTAGGAAATACTCAGATTTGCCTAAAGCTGGTGAGATTTTTCTAGAAATGTGATATCTGCAGTCCTACTTTGTTTCCTCTTACACCCTTATGTATAGCTAGCAGTACCCTTTGGCTCTGACTCAGCTAGAAAAATGAGCATATATTGGGATATCACTCAGCCTGTCAGAAAAAGAAAATTGTCCCTACCAATAGAACGAGAAAAAAAGGATTGCTACCACAATCAACTGCTTTTGGTTCTGTATTCACCTTTTCTCCTCTTGGACACCTTCCTTTTTTTTCCCCCCCTCAGTGATTCAGAGCATTCATTCTCTTTACTCCATGATTAATTAGCAAGGGACTACAAGGAAGAAGATAAATCTTGACTGACTGTAGTTGCTAGCAACCACTTACAGTGACCCAAGGGATTATCTGTCCATTTTAAACACAAAAAGCTAAAGAAGCTGCTGGAAGATTTGAGAGAGTATTTGCTACCCTACTCCTATCTCATCTCACTCAGCACATACTTTGATTAAAAAATTTGGGACCAAACCATCTGAGGACCTACCTTCAGGGCAAATGTGTACTTGTGGCTGTTGGGCTGTTTCATAACAGATGAGTTAGAAAATATTTTCTGATTGAATAGGTGGGAAATGCATGTAAAGATCTCTCTTAATAACAAAAGAGACAGACTTTTCTTTTGCCAAGTTCAGTGGAAGTTGGGGATTGGCAGGCAAAGTCACAAGAGTGGACAGAACAATTCCATTGTCATGGGAATGCTTCTCATGATGGGAATCCAGAGAGGTGCAGAACTTCTCGTTTGTGCAATGTGATGCTCTAGCTCATGAGCACCAAGGGGGGTTAGGTTGTGTTCTATTAAGAAGGAAATAGGTGAACTGACGTTCCTTACTAAAAGCAATATGCAAACTATAGGTGAGTCATCTGCTAACATCATTTTCCACAGGTACCACCAAATGTTTCAACCTTAATAAATGGAACAACATGGCATCTGTGCAGCAGATCTGTCATTTTCTTACAGGCTTTAGGTCAATATGGCAATGTCCCCCTTCCATCCTTCCCAAGGGCATATACTGTGGGCAAATGCCTCCATCACCTAGGGCACCAAAGTATATTTAAATCATATTCCTGTCTACCAGAGAGAATACTTGCTTATACTTCTATGACCAGGAGTCAACAAGCAATGGTGTCGAAGTTTTGGGTGAGTGACTTGAGACTGGGAAACAAAGGTAAGAATCATCCAGCTTCCTTCATAATCTTACAGATTTTGAGATACAGATATATAAATTACAAACACAATTATAAAACCCAGTTTACTCCATTTTAAATGTGGTAGTTGGGTGCAAAAGGATCAGGAAGCAAAATGGAAAGGCAAGGAAGGTTTTCTGAGAAGAAAATTCAGGATGATAGGTTAACATGAACCACACAGTACTTTCCTTTCACTGGTCAGTTAAACTCTGTCTTGTCTTTTTGTTAAGGGAAGACAATGGAAGGCAGGGATAAGAGAGCAGGAGTTGCTTAAAGGAAGCTTTATCTTATTATCCAGTGACCAAGAAATCCACAGTGACTGCTGCTGTTAAGTACTCTCTATCAAACATACAGTTTATCAAGGTTGACCGCGTCTCTGTGGTGCTGCAGGGAGCTAATGACAGGAGCTGCCACTTCTTCTGATGTTGGATCACTTCGTGGATTGTGACCCAATTTTGTAGAGGATCATTGTAGAAGGACCAAAAGGCTAGCCAAAGTTAAACAACCTTTCTTAGCACTTGAGAGAACACTGACATTGTATACATCATCTTTTCTCTTTCAATGAATCAATGTTGAGGGAAGAATAATATCAAAGACCAGAGGAGAAGAACGTAACATTCGTATTGATAAAATCAGCTAATTCCTGGGCAGTCTGTTCTACTCACAGCCGTCTGTGCCACTGCCTCCAGAGCTTCCAGTCTGGGTTATTTCCACCTGTTTCTGCACCAACACTTCCCCACACTCAGGTCTCAGCTGCTGGAGGAAGGGAGAAAATACTGCCTAAACGAACTTGACAAAGAGGCTCAGTACTGCCTTTGCTCACGTATCCAACATGTTCACAGACTAACATGTTCACAGACTAATAGAAAAATCACTTGAAGCCTCATAACGCATATTCAGCCTCATACTGAAGAACTTTATTTTCATTTGTAAGCTAAATCATTATTGAAAACAAAATTTTCTCAACTAGCTGCTTCGGAACAATATACTGTATTATGAAGCGCCGTACATTTTAAATGCTTTTGAAATCCCGACAGGACAAAGTTAAGTCTCCCCCCATTTCATTTTTTTTCCTTGAATTTTTGAGATTTAAACCATTTTCTTCTTTTTCCAGGCTCTTCTGCATCAAGACCAGGCAGCTGGGTGGAAGGAGCCATGCGGAAAGTGAGTGAGAAGTGAGCATGGAAAACACAGAAATGAAAGGCCCTTGAGGCTGAAGATGGTGCTGGCAGAGACGGTGCCATCTCGCTTCCTCTTCTGAAGCCCCTGCTGCAGCAGCCACGTCAGGCCAAGATGAACAAAACGGCAGAAAGAAGGACTGTACAGTGGGTCTCCTTGAATCATGCTACTAAAAAAAGGTGCAACGAGAAACAAGTCCCAGTGCATTCTTAGTCACGACTGTGGGCAGAGGAACCTGTACGATTCCTGATTCCTCCCTTTGGTATTAAATAACAGTTTTTAAAAAGCTTTTTAGAAACAAAGCAAATGCATGGTGGGATTGGAAGTGTTAGCCACCCTAGGTTAGGTGTCTGCTGAAATAAGTCTCATCCCTAGTCATAAATAAATAATCTCTTTCCTGGTCTGACTTCCACGCCAGGATCAATATCTCTTAACATCTTACTTATTTTATTACTGCTTTTGGTTTTCTGGGACTGATTGAAAGTTGCTCAGAGGAAATCTTTGGTTTTGCTTAAGTGTCCATGACATTTAATCATGACTTTCCTTGCAGTTTAATTCCAACCAGTCAATCAGTTAATCCACTTCGATTGATTCTGGGCTCTCGGTTATTGGCTTGCACTCATTGGGCATCCGTTGGTGTCGGCTCAGCTGGGTGGCCTGCGTGAAGCTCCGCTCACACCTCTCGCACCTGGTGGAGGCAAGAGAGAAAATTGAGACCAGGGAGCGAGGCCTGCAGGGTGATGCGCTTCCTCTCATCCTGCCTAATCGGATCAGACACTCCAAAGTGGCTTCAGATTTTACTGGCTCAAGAGGTTTAATTGGTGGCTCCTTCCAAGGCCTGGATGTCTGTGATGGGACAAAGCCCGTCTGATGCAGAACAGAGGGATCTGTCGATAGGCAGGGGGAAGGTGATTTCTCCAGAGGGCCCTGTCCTGCTGCGGCTCTGATCACTGTCAGTTCAAATAGATAAAGAACAAAAAGAGATTTTTAGGAGTGAGCCATCAAAGCAGCAGCTTGTCTGCAGTTTTCTGCTCTGTAACCCCAAAGAGAAATTGATGACAAATAGAATTTCACTTGCTGCTAATTTAAAATCAGGAATTCTTCCCCCCTCAATACAGCAGCCAAAGGGCGATCATGTCCAGATTTCGTAACTAGAGGAAGCAGCATATTAGTTTGCAGTGACTGTGGAGGGGAGGGAAGCTGCTATGGTGCCGTATCACAGCCCATCAAACTGAGAGTTCAAACTAACTGGTGGGGTTGGGGGGCGTGGAGTGGGGACTCAGATAAACTTACAGACAACCAGGCTCAGGAAGGTCACTCCTCCCGAAGCACGACTGAAAATGTTCCTGATGCTGTGACTCAGGCCAGTGTGTTTCAGGAGGTGAGCTCTGATTTTTTTTTTTTTAAAGATTTATTTATTTGTACATACAGAACTGGGGTACAGCTCAGGGGGGGTGAGAGGCTTCACCAGAGACAGAGTGGGGAGCAGAACAGGCAGATCGACGAAGTACACTGCTGAGGGGAGCAGCGGGCGAGACAGGAGAGGTCTGCCACACCATGTGGTCTCCTCCGGGGCAGGCGGGATTTGAACTCATGCGGAAGTGGCTTCAGCTTTTCAGTGCAGTGCTTTAACCCGCTGCGCCACCAGGGAAGGCCCGGTGAGCTCTGGTTTTACACCTCGAGAATAGCTCTTGAGGCAGGCTATGTGGCCTATTAAACCTACCTGAGCACAGACACACAGAGACAAACTGTGAACTGTGGAGGCAAGCTGCGGACAGCAGACTTCTCTGTCACCACCCTGCTGGTTGGGACTCAGCAACCACCTCAGTTGTCCCCTCTCCTCAAACTTCTGAAGGAAAAGCCACTCTGGAGAACAGCAGACAACTGTTCTTCTTAAATAATGTGACAGGAGTCTTGGGGTCCCTATACTACTGGGGCTGTGGCAGAGGCATCACAGAAGAGTCCCCATTATCCTGTAGGTGCTCCTCTTAAGTCCCCTGCCCTGGGGAAAAGAGAATAATGCAGCTGTCTGCTTGGGGGGTCACCTGCCTTTTTTCTGAACACAAGAAGCCTGAGCTGGACTGTGTTGCCTGGGTTTCCAGGGCTCCTGTGACAAGTGAGGATGTCAGACGGAAGAAGTTGTATTATTTTGATTGTCTTTCTGGGAATATTTTTAGCAGCCTGTTCTACTGTTAAAAACTGCACTGTGATCTTGACAAATGTAGGATGTCAGCTTTAATGTATCAGACCTATCAACTCAATGAAAATAACTCAGAAGTATTGATCAGCTAATGATTTTTGGTGTATTCATTAACGTCCATGGGCAGCTCATACCCTCTCCAGAGCTTCTGAAGTGCTGAGGACACGTTAGTGAATTGCTGATTGTTTATTAGAAAACTGATTAGTTACTGGATGAGTGTGTCAAAATATACTACCTTTCACTGCTTGACAAACTTTCAAATGATTATATTCCAAAAAAAAACCTTCTGAAGCTCTAGAATCCACTTGCAAGAGAACAGAAGAGCTTGAACAATCATGAGGAGTGGCAGTTTGCCAGGCTCACACTTTTGCCACCTAACTTTATGTATTAAAATAGAAATGATTTGGCCCTCCCTGGTGGCACAGTGGGTTAGGACGCAGCACTGCAAAGCTGGCCACAGCTGCTTCAGTGCGGGTTCGACCCCCGGGGCTGGAGGTGATCCACATGGCGAGGCAGACCTCTCCTGGCCCGTCTGCTGCTCCCCTCAGCAGTGTATCTCACTGATCTGCCTGTTCTGCTCCCTACTCTGTCTCTGATGAGGCCTTTCATCGGCCCTGCGTCTCTGGCTTATCCCCCAGTTCTGTATGAATAAATAAATAAATCTTAAAAAAATATATAGAAATAATTCACCACTGAGTTTAGTGCAGCCTATCAGGCAAAAAATGTATGTCTATATGTAATACCCATCCAGACTGGATGGGTACATTAAGAGGAAAACTGGACTTTATTCTTCAAGTATTTGCCTAAATGCCTCACATACATGTACATTCATGGAACAATTCATTGTAACAGGAAATTCACTCAGACTGATGCATTGGGTGGCTTACATCATCACTGAACAATCATTTCTAGTGCCATCTGCTCGCCAAGAGTGAGAAAAAGCAAATGCAGATGTGGAAAAAATTCCTTAGTTTAGGTCCGTCTTCTCAGAAGGTCCCCTAATTGCACAGAGTACATTCTATACATAAAAGCTATGTGCGCAGGGAATTAAAAAAAAAACAGTTTTTATAATTAAGGAATTCAAGAGAGCTAAGTATAGTAAGTACTTATTTACAATGAGAGCACCTCAACTCATCATTTTAATTACTGGAGAAGTCCCTTCACACGTGACTTCCATAACTTCCTGAAACCCATCAGCAGGGCAGATGGGCCTAGAGTCTGGCCAGTCGGAGCTGACATGAGCTGGGCTGGCATTCACTTAACCACCTTCCCAGGTGAGTGACTGGGCCTGGGTACCAATAAGCAGGATCTTCGTGTGATGTAACAGACATAAAAAGACTCAGAGAATGAGCTGGGAGTACAGACAAGAGTTAGCACTCAGGGCCTCAGTCCTGAATGAGGGAAGGAACAGGGACACGGGAGTGGAAAGCTGTCCAGATATTTCAGGAAAGACGATGTTCTCAACTTTCAACGAGCACGCGGGACTTGATTTTCAATTCTTGAAAATCAAGTTACACTTTATTTTCTTTTAGATCTGAAATCACTCTCTATTAGTATGATGGTTGGCCAGCTTATGGGTACAGGGAGATGAATAATTATCACCTGAATCTGATGAGGCACAAACCTATGTCAAATTTTATTAAATGAAAAACCTGCAAGAAGTATTCTTTCTGGGCTTCTAAGGTCCATCACAAAATACTTCCTGACGTGAACCGAAGCACAAAACACACAAGACTTCATACATTTGCTGTGTTCACTGCCTACTGAGTGATATGCTCCTTGATTTGCTTTGACTGTGCTTAGATCTTGATAAAATATTAGTAGTTTTTTGGAACAGCCTCTGATTTTTTTTTTAATACCAAGCCAAACTGTCTTTAATGTGAAATGTAGATATGCTTCTAACTAAGATGGAGAGAAGCAGCTCTAGGCATGGCTTGGTCTGCCCAGACTCTGAATCCATAATGAGCAGCTCACATGGATCCTTCCAGGTAAAGCAACAATACCCCCAAAGCTTGAGATTATATTTAGTCACATAGGAGAAAGGGCTTCTCACTGTCGAGAATACATTTCACACACTTCCTTCCTTCCCTCCTCCCTTTCATCCATCCACCTGTTCCTTGAAAAACTGCTGTAAAATGAAACAATGTCTTGCTTTTGCTCCTTGTTTTCCATGACCTCTGGTCTCATGGTACAACTGAGTGCCAAGAACTTCAGTATGATGCTCACATATATTTCTGTCGCTATGCCCTCCTTTACTTTGGAAATTCAAATTCCACAGCCTAAGTTAGTGATGGACAGGCCTGGAATCTACTTAGAGTCTGGGGGATGGAGACTTTCGATGGGATTTCAAGCCATCAGATTGTATGGCACAGGCTGGATGAAACTCTGCTCTCTTAAAGCCAAATCTTCTCTAGTTATCTTTGGATAAGCACCTTGGTCTCCTTCAAAAACCCACTTGTCAGTGAGAGATTTTAGAAGCTGAACTGTCTTGGCAGCCCATTCTCAGGCAAGCTCTGAGATTTCTGTGATGTCTCCTGGACTGAATGGGTGGGAGAGTTGGGGATTATGCTGCTTGGGCATTTATCTGGAAGCTGCCCAAGATACAAGCTTAGGCTATACATCTGTACTAGATTCTTCTTTCTTTGCAACATTGTTTATCCAATACCTTTTAGTTGAAGCAGTAAAATTAACAGTTGTGATGAAACCCATTTTATTGACTGATCTGCAATGAAAGGTTGTTTTGTAATGTTTGCTTTATAAGCCTGTAAAAGGATAATTTCATAATATTTACAAATGTCCATGGAATGGATATCCATGAGCTATGGCTGAAAGAGTTCCCAAAACTCCCTTGGGAGACTTCAATCCTGCAAGACCTGGCTGTATACACCAAAGGAATGAGCTTTTCATTTTCTAGATGTTTAAATCTCAATTTTTTAAAATAAAGTGCGCTCAGTTCTCCCCTGAGAACATATATTTCTTACATTGGGAGTAAACATAAGTGTGTGGTTATCTTGATAAGGATAAACGCTGAAGAAACTAAAAGGTGCCCTTAAAATCTAACCCAAGCAAGTGTGGTTGTTTCCCTAGTATTTATTCCAGATGAGATTAGGCTGTGGTCACAAAAAACATATTTTAGATAGGAAAAAGACACAAGTATTAAAGCCCTTCAAATATTAATCTGATGAATTAAAATTAAGTTAACATGGCAACTCTATCGGAAACATGACAAAAACAGGATGTTAAAGAAAAAAATTGAGCGGAGTCAACGAGGTTACACATAAGTAACACCTTAACATTAATAGAAATCTATTTCCCATTTTGACCCTGAAACCTCTTCAATTAATTACTAAAATCTATTTACACAGCAACAAGATAAAAATCAATCTGATTCCTGGCACCGTGTCATCTGGCTGCCCTCTCTAACACAGGGGCTGAGACGACCCCCCAGTCCTCTCACACGTCTGCTGTCAGAAAGCTCTCCTGCTCAAGAGTCCTGGAAACGTGTCTCTGTCATCTTCAACATTACCAGCAGAGATGACACTGAGCTGGGTGAAGCCCCTAGGGTCAATGGAGGGTGATGACAAAGTCACAGCATAGGACACAAATACCTGTGACATCATTGGAAGCTCCATGGAGACGGTGCTAACCCTTCTGGCCTTCAGGGTGAGTTAGAAGAAGAGACCCGGGTGGGCTAGCATAGCAGTGTTCGACATTCGAACCCAAACTTATCCCCTAAGTCAAATGCCGTGTTGCAGCGAACAAGCAGGGTGTTAACTGACACTATACAATACACCCTGGCAGAAAATAGTTGAGAATAATGAACAAAGGTAACCAGCCCATGGGGAGGTGAGTGAAGATGACAGCCTCTTATGACATCCTTCTTCAGCTGGCAGATATGAGACAGTACCAGACCAGCAGGACGCTGCACCCCTGAGCTGAATCTGGACGCCATGTGGACACGTGCTGTGCCAGCAGAGCGCCAGAGGGAAAACCACAGAACGTGAAACTCTGGGGAGACTTGTTGACTAAGAATGAACAAGGGGATTCATCTCCTACTACCAGAGCCACTTACTTTCTTGTTTGATCTTGCCTAACAGAAGCTAAAGATCCTGTACATTTGTAGCCTTTTAATTTTTCTTAATCAGGAAAAGCCAGCATGGCCAATGAGTAGAGAGAGATGGAAGGGGTTAAACAGATAACTGCTTTGAGATGGCCCCAAAGTCACACGTGCTGCTGATGCTCCCAAGCCTTCACTCGCTCAAGTTTTTTTTAGCTGCTAGAAAAGCCTGTCTCTGTATGTCTGGGAAACTCCTCTTCATCCTTCAAAGCACATCTTAATCACCACCTCTGCCAGACGGTATTGATGACTTCATACATAGACAACCATTTTCACATTTGCCCTTTTCACTCTGTTATAGTACTTCTTCATTGAATTGTCCCATATAATACGAGATCTTCAAGGTCTACTGTTTCACCATGGTGTCGTATCTAGACACACACCCTCTTGGCCAGGCGCCCCTACTTTGCCAAACCCTTCGAATTCAGCGCTACTTCTGCTTTCCACATCCCCTGAATCTCAAGAGCTCAGTCATGCCCTATGCTTGGTGCTTTTTTTTTTTTCTTTTTTCACCAATCTGCTCATTCTGAGACCTGACAGGCATGCTGACAAGTCACAAGTTGGCAGTTATAACACATTCAAACCTCTTTAACATATAGGAAAGGGAGAGAAAACACTCACCAGAATCCAAAGGGTTCAATTCCCCAAACGATGTCCTAAATTAGGGGCCTGTGGGTGGCCCTAAGATGGTACCCTGTGTGGTTCCCAGTTCAAATTCTAGACACACAGATCCTCAGGCACTAGAAGAATCTTAAAATACCTCCTACTTGCATACTTCACTGATGAGAAAACAGACCAGAAGGGCTGCCTTGAGTTCAAGGTTGCCCAGACCATGCCAGGCACAGTGCATACTCCCTGACTTTATTTTCCCTGTTACACATGTTGGTCCTGTGGCAGCCTGGACACTGACCTTCCAGCGGCCTCCCACACCAGCTGACCGAGCAGAGCAGCCGCGCTGCCTCATCTGCCGGCTCTCAGGAGAGGGCAAGAGAAAGCAGCTTGCAGAACTGGCCGTGACTTACTTGAAGGGCTTTTCTCCAGTGTGGGTTCGGATGTGGTTGTTGAGGGTGGTGGCTCCGGCAAAAGCACGACCACAGTAGCCGCACTTGAAAGGCCGGTCACTGGAGTGGGTGACCACGTGGTTCCTCAGTTCTGAAGGCTGGGAAAAGGACTGGGAGCAGTGTCCACACTGGTAAGGTCTGAAACAAAGACAATGCCTGGTCATTATTTTCTAGGCTAGTCAGGGGAGATCAGACGTGTGGGGGCGAGGACAGAAAGATGTTGCTGCCCTGTTCTCTGAGCTTAAAACAGGGCACGGAGCTTTGGCCAGTGGGTCCCCAGAGCCTGCTGCCACAACATCACAGAGCTACTGAGACACAAGAATTCCAAATGAATATTCCTTTCTGAGATGAACCCCACTAGTTCAAGAAGTCCTGCTGTCTCGTTTTGACCCCTGCTCCCCACCCGGCCAGACAAACAGTCGTCGACTTTGCAAGCATGGAGTGTCCAGACTTCATTAAACAGGATGTTACAGAATAAAAAAGGCAATTGTTTCTCACCATTCCAGGGGACTTTCAACTTTTCAAAGAAGTTTATCAAACCTGACAAATTACCCATGCACTTTATTACAATTGTAAAGTAAGTCTGCTCAAAAATCAATCACCTAGCTTCTTCTTTACAGGGGCGATTATTGCTGTCAGTTCAGAAAACAGGATAAACGGTTCTCCTAGGAAATCAACCCTGGATTCCAACATAACACGAGGGTGTTTGGACCTTCTGCTCAGTGCGGAAGTCAGGTATGTGTGTGCCGACAATTCTTTGGGTTCTGTCTCCCGCACAACCCTGACAGTACACAAACACAGCTGTGCACCCAGATGTGTTGCTCTGTAAGAAAAACCTGACTTCGACTTACTCCCCCTCACTAATATTTATCCACTGGGTCTTTCTTGAACTTCAGCTCCCCAGTTTAATCTGGTAGCGAGCCATGATTTATAGCAGCCAGAAATGACAGGATGTCACTATGGTTACAGGAAGAGGATGGTGCTGCAACAGCAAATGGAAGGAAGTTCAGACAAATACCTGATAATTAGCAAGATTATCAGAGGCCATTCTTTCCAGCTCATGAGAAGTAAATCAATTTTGAGTTTTCATAAAATAGATTAGAATTCTGTCTTCTCTATAGAGGTTCTTCTGCTTACTGAAGCAAAATCGGGTGAGTGATATAAAACCTAGGGAGTTTCCCCTATTCAAAGCTATTTTATATCATCCCTTGACAGGACTCTAATTTGTTTATCAACATTTTTGTTAAGAAAATTAATAATCTGTCATGGAGGAATCTTAGCACTCGTGAAGCTCTGGTGTGTGGCCCAGGCATTTCTGAGTGTGTTCAGAAAGTCAACAGCAGAAGCTGACTTAGTTCATCTACCTTTAACACATGCGTAAGATCCAACGAGCACAAACCAGAATGAAGGGACAGAAGACAATGGTGACCGATCATGTACAACAATTCAATTAAGCGCAAAATAAAGTGTACCCTCTCATTTGTCAAGTGAAGGGCTTAATTGTGGCTACTTGGCTCACTGAACACAAATACTATTATTTTGCCAGGCTTCAGCACACTGAGCACTGATTGTAGAATTTTTTAGCTTGATTAATAGTCCAGGACTGGTCAATAACTCAATACTATACAATTTTAATTACTTACATTTAGAAATCTATCTAAGTGCTCTCAAACAAGTTTCAAAGAAATATATAAGAGTCCTTGGTAAGGAGTTTATCAATCTTGACAAATTACACATGCATTTCATTACAATTATAAAAGAGGGCTTTGAGAACTATTAAAATTAAAGGAAGATGAAAATGTGCTTCTCCTGAATGCAGTCTTTGTATTACCATTAGCCTTAAAGAATTATTCATGAAATAATTCTCAGAGGTGAAGTTTTGTTTTTTAACACTATTGAAGATTACAAACCAAATAATGTATTAATATATGCTATATACACTGACAATTGATTTTTCTAATAGTGAAGGGGCCATTAACATTTATTAGCCTCTGGTTATCTATTTTTAATAGCTAGCACAATAAACAATAAGCTGCTAAATAAAACCAATTCATCTTTTCTTTTTTTTCTAACTCTGTTGTCAAAAGTTGCAGTGATTTATCTCCCACAGTCAGAAGTCAATCCATCCTCTTAACGTTAATAGTCACGGTGGCAGAGATTTACTCAGAGAGAGCAGAAACGACCAGCGAAAGGCTTCTGCTGAATTCTTCCTTCAAGTTAATGCCATGAAGAGGCCAACAGGATTCAAACGCATCAACTTTGCCCAGCACCTGAGAGGTATTTTACCAGGTAGCCAGTGAACTATGGCACAAAGTTTTTACAGCTGCTGCACTCAGCTTGCTGGAACAGAAGAGCCTAGAATGGAGGGGATAGATACGACAAGTCCTACTTCAACCTGGTACATTCAGCTAGGGAACACCAGCTAGGGAACGCCCTGGCTCGCTCTATTTCTTCAGTTATCTAGAATGAGCTCGATGTTTTCTTTCTGAGATGCCCTATTCCTGCTTTCAGAGAATGAGCACAACCTTTCTGCCTATGAAACTGTCCCAACACCACCTCACGGAGCTTGCACTGTCAATGTGGTCTCCATATTCCATTGTTCCCTACGCATAGAGCTTTCTAATGGTGTGTATGTGTGCACACGTGCTAATTAGAACGTGAACCATCTAAATTTTATTGGTAAACAGCTGAGAATTGAGAGCAACGTGAATATCTAGTACCACATGTATCACCCAGCCATATTTTGGCTGCTCTCAAAAAACAAACATATCTCTTCAATAACAAGGTTTTAGCTCATTCCCCTTAGCAGAACTTATTTTATGTAGGATTGAGAACAAAAGTGTATCTTCTACTTGCCACTATAAGTAATATATTGTCTTTCTCAAGCCTACAAATGTATAGGAAGTTCACACAGAAGTCATAGAGCAAGTAGACAAGAAAACCCTTCTTTTGCAGGGTTTTCAATATTTTCTTTAAAATGGAGAAAAGGGAATGATCAAAAAACAATTTTAACACTGATTTTGTCCTAAGATTTTATTTAAGGACCCAGGAATGAAACCATGAAGCCTAAGAGCACAGTTGAGAGAGCATTATTGTCACTATGGAATTTCACATATTATAATTTATGGGACAACAGGCCAGAAGAGCTAAGAATATTTATGTCAGTTTCTATTAGCAAACCTTATCTCCTTCTCTCAATCCACAGCCCCAGGACCTTTGGGCACCGAATCACTTGTCATGACTCAGCTCTTTATTCCAATGACTAACACTCCCATTAACTTTTCAAGGTCTGGCCAAATGGTACAATTTCATTGATTAAACTTTTAGATAGTCATTTTTAGCAACAAACTCCTGTTTCTCTTTGATGTGCCCTACAGAAGAAGCCTGGAAGGGCCCACATTGCACACACAGTATTTAGTTCTCTCCAGTCCTTCACACCATTGAACAACTAAGTGGGAAGTTCCTCTCTAAAGCCCTCTGAGTCTCCCCCACACACCACATACCCGTGGCATTTCACTATTCTCAAATCAAATGCAATGAGCTTCTTCACAGAGAGAGAGTCCAGAGCAGCTTATGGATTTTGAATGACTTGACAAGGATAGCCGAATGCCCAGGATGCAAACGTCCTACATGCCCACTATTCAAGGTGGGGGTTGCCAGTTCCTCACAGCTGCTTGCACTTGAAATGTGTAGTGGGGAGGGGAGGAGGGCGGTCAGAGACCAAAGTCTTACTCAGTTTTGAAGAAGTGACTTAAATAATCTTATGCAGCTAGTTTCCACACAGCAATATCAAGCTTCACGAAAGAGTACAAGGGTTTCATACTCAATAAAGAAGTAACCGAAAAACAAGCAAAGCCCGGGTGAACTCAGTTAACATGTATCAATGCTGGTCAATTTTTAAGCAGAAAATGAGCCCTGAGAAAGTTTTGTACATCCCTTGGCATCCCCCAGAACTGGCGGCTCCTCTGCCAAAGATTATTCCAGTACAATGTGCAATTCATTTACTTTGAGACTGTAATTGCTCTGGTGTACACGTAGGAAAAGGATGAAACATTTAACAAAATTAAGTGTGGTTTGGTTTCAAATATTATTAATCCTCCTTTGATTTTTTTTTTTCTTGCATGGCATGCAAGCCTCCAGGACAAAGCTGTGTAGCCGGGGCCACATTCTCTGCTCACTCCACATCAGCCAGCCCCAGCGAGCGCTGATCTCCAAACACTCCAAAGGGCACAGCACGTAGGTCACTGCTGGCCGGCCATGCAGAGTGAGAAGAGAAAGTCGCTCTATGGGAGGAGAGAAAGACTCCAGGAAAGAGGCAAACACAGAGCCAGAGCACCTGGAGAACAATGCATGTGAGAAAGAAGACAGGCTTCAGGTGGGGGTGGGGTGGGAGGGCTGGTTCAGCACAGACACATTCCGAAGAAACGATTATGGTGATGGATTGACTCCAGGATCTTCCCCCCAAAATGGCACCTTCTAGAGTCATCCCCCGCTCTGGTACCAGCACATCCAATGACACACAGTGATACTGGAAACAAATGTGAGCTGCTGGCAGTGGGGTCTAGAAGGCTAGACGCAAACTTTCCCCATGGCACCAACAATGCAAAAGGAGAAAAGAAAAAGAAAGGGATGCAAAAAAAGGAAAAAGAAAAAAAAGGAGGAGCATCATCAGAACACTTTTGGCAGACATAAAAGTGAACATACTCATCCGAAAATAATCCGCTGTGATTGAAGACTTTGCTTACCCCTTTCTGGAGCACCCCCTGGGGCACTGTTGAGAGTTTCTGCAGCAGGAAGACAAGAGAACAGGGGTTTCTAACTCTTGGTTCCAGCAAAAGTGAGTCAAGTTACCCTGACCTAAGTAATAAACTTAAGTGAAAACCCAAATGTTTTTGAAGTCCCTAAATAAAATCTTGGTTGATCTAGCTTCCAACAGTTTATTTCCTTTGCGTTTGCTCAAGAAAAGACAAAGACAGGACCCTGGAAAGAGGAAAGGAGAGATTTTTTGGTTTTGTTTGCTTAATGGTAACAGCACAAAAATCAAGAAATAATAATTGCATGGCACTTGATGCGTGTGGCTAGGTTTTCTGCTCATGCTCATGGCAATTCCAAATGAAACTTTGTTCTGCATTTAGTATAAATAACATTAGAGGAAAATCATGACCCTAACCCTAGGTATCTTCAGATCGCTTTCCTTCACAGGGAAGCATACACTTTTCAGGGGTGCTTCCCATTAGGAAGCATACAACACAGACACAGAAAGTCTCTTTGATGAAGGCGCCAATCCCTTCACTTTTATGGCAAACAGTCAGTCTGTTGCGTGAAAAATCCTTTGGACCTAAGATTCAGGGGCTTGCTTCAAACTTGGACCTGTTTGAAACTCTAACCTGCTTACCTCTGACTGTCTTTTGTGGCTCCTTTCTTGCCTCTGGTTCTAGCAAGAAATTTCTTATCAAAATAAAAGTATGATTTTCAAATAGAAGGGAGATGGGTGTGACTGGTGTGTTCTAAACTTCTTCGCTATACACAGGTGAATGGGCACAAACTGTCAGACAAAAGCCAGTTGATGTATGTAGTCAATCACTAAAGAAAACATGAATATTCAGCAATTTTAAGTCTCCATATGGATAGTAAAAGTAGAGGTTCAAAATTTAGCAGCATCATGAACAAATGTGTCATTCCATTTTAGCTCTGTATATTTCTCCCATTTAGCAATTCACCCAGGTGGTTAGAGACTACCAAGAGTATCTTTTATTTCCAAGCTTGCTGGATCAAAGAAAATACTTCAGGCTCTGGAACAGCAAAGAGCCATTCCATAGGAATATGCTGAAAGCAAACTGTGTATTTAGAGTGCAATTAGGGGGCTAAAATGACAGGGATCCCCCCTCTATTGCCCCCATCATCAATAACCAATTCAGGTGAGACAGAGTAATTCAAGACGCTCCTACCACTGCTAAGAAACAACAATGTACTTTACTGCATTGCCTCGAAAGGGAGAAATTTTTGAAATTATAATTCTAAATTTTAATCTATTCAAAAGGGTGGTGACCACCTCTGAAATCTTCACCATCAAAGCACAAGATAGGGAGAAGCAGGATCCCACAGGATAAGGAGCCACACACTGCTCTGTCCGTCTGCCTAGATATTAAGTACTCAAACTTCTGCCTCACCTGAAAAGACCTGGCCACACCCCATCTGGACGTCGGACTCTAGCCTCTTGGTCCTCCTGCCCAGGAGGACCCTGCCTTGGGTCACCTGGATGCTTGTCTTGAAATTAGCTTAGAATCGACACTGACCTAACAATCTCTTGCGGATGAGTGTTTTGCAAATGCAGGTTTCTAACATGCCAGGTAATTTCCTGACAGCTGACACACAGGTATGACCAATGGTGACACTATTACAGCACAGCACAGGTATTATAGCACAGACTGACGGGGTCCCCAAGTGAAACTGGAGTCAGGCAAAACCAACTATTTGGGCATCTTTCTATTTACTATGAGATGATTCCATGGTTTTGTGTTACATTCCCCATGAAATCTGATCTTCCTCAGGGCTAAACTTCGAGTTCCAGAAAATGCCAACTCTTGTTTCATTTTACCTTGCACTGTGAGTTAGGGCAATGAACCTCATGAAGGTAATAGCTGTGTACATATGAATTCACTCAATTTAGAAAGTTCATCAAAAAATATTGACATATCTTTTATATTCAAAAAGCACTGGCCCTCCCTGGTGGAGCAACAGGTTAGGACACAGCACTGCAAGCTGGCCACAGCCGCTTCAGTGCAAGTTCGATCCCCACCCTGAAAGTGACCTACGTGGCGTGGCAGACCTCTCCTGACCTGCCCGCTGCTCCCCTCAGCAGTGTACTTCGTCAATCTGCCTGTACTGTTCCCCACTCTGTCTAGTGGCGAAGCCTCTCAACCGGCCTGTGCCCCAGTTCTGTATGCATAAATAATCTTAAAAAAAAAAAAGCACTAAAATGATCTGAAAACTTTGACTAGATATGCATATACACATATAAACACTGAGGTATACAGATAACTGCAAGCAAGGCAAGCTTTCAAAAAAAATCCTTTCTGAGTGAAGAAAACATTTCTCAAATGTGGTCTGTGGATACCTTCCCCAGGGGGCTTTCCTACTGAAAGTAAAAGTAAGGATAGAACTGCCTCAACAGCTCTAATGCAGAAACATGTCAGTTTTAATTAGTTCTAGCAATCGGGCCTCCCTGGCGGCGCAGGGGTTAAGTCCCAATGCTACCACCCTATTGCCGCTGCTCACCTCAGCTGTGTAGTTCAGTCCATCTGCCTGTTCTGCTTCCCACTCTGTCACTGGTGAATCCTCTCACCACCCACCTCCCCCCCACCATGCACCTCTGGCCTACATATACCCCAGATGTGTAGACATCAAAAAATCTTTTAAAAAATTAGTGTTAACAATGCTTGATGCTAAGCAAGTGTTCTGTAGACCGGGACACATAAAAATAGATAACATAGGAATGTGCCTGTGTATCCCAAAATGGACTATTATTACTGTTTAGAAAAGATTTGACTACTCTTCACCAACCTTCTATCCCCTTGCCTGCTGGGTCTTCAAACACAACTGTAACTGGTTGAGAGAGCTGCGAGGGTGTTTGGGGACAGGAGGCAAATGGCTTGAGGGTATTCAGTGTCCAAATTAAAAAAATAACTCAGGAGTCCCGATAACCTCGTCTGTCTTCCTTCTAAAAATTATTTTCTGCTTTTATATTCAAAGTGCACTTTCAGGGCTATTCTTAGATATTTGGGGTTTAATGAAATTTTCATAGGATGTGAAGGAGAGATAAAACACAATCCTTTCTTACTGAATTAATTTGATTTTTGTCTTTTGCGCGCCCAGCTATCAAGATTGTCGAATAAACCAGCTTTGATTCATAAATAATAGTTCCATTATATCTACTGTGCCACTCGTCAGAGTACCTGAAATTTTAATTCACTTGTTCAGCTAAATTTCATCCTCAGTTCATGGCCATAAAATTCTTTATTGACAAACTTTCAAACCAACTTTGACTCTGAGGTATCTAGTCAACATTTTTCTTCTGTGTGGATATTAGTTTATTGAATAAGTGGCATCTGTTTTCCTCCACATCACTAGCAGAGTAGGTATTTCCTTTTGACAGCTTTGCAGGATTTATGGGTTTGCATGCTCTGAAGAAAAATAGTACTAAGCAAAAAATTCCAATTCATTACCTCTTAGTACTTAATTAAGTTCATAGCCACAGCACACTGGAGGTGAACCCTGAAACGATGGTGACAGCAACTGAGCGGCCAACTATATTATCTTCAGAAGACAGAGAGGATTCTAATTACCCTGACCTCATTTTCCCATCCATGATATCCATAAATGCTCTTTCTATTTTGCTTCCCACCATAATGGGGTGGAACTGTTTGGGGAAATAAGAACAGACTCCTCTCTGCAGACACTGCTCATGCAGCATCTGCACAGTAAATCAAGCAGAGCCTAACACTCCTGCCTGCCCTTCTGGGGCACAGGGTGTGTCCTGAGGTGTGGTGGGCATCCGTGAGGGGAAGCTGGCTGGGCCGGTGGTGGGGTGCAGCCTGAAAGGGCGCCACCATGTGGGTCGTGGGCTAGGGTTTACCTGTCAGGGTTCTGCGTGCACACGTGCATTTGTAGGAGGATCCTCTGGGTGAAAGTCTTAAAGCACTGGCCACATTTCCAAAGGTGCCAGTCACTGAACTCGGAGTGCAGCTGGCTGGTCGACGTCGGGCTCGCGAGGACGCGCTGGTTCTTCACGTTGATTTGGTTAAATCCCGACTCCATGGGCCCAGACTTATCCAGGAGAGAGAAGTTCCTGGTGCACGGAGTCTGTGGGAAAACGACGGAGCGCTGCGGGGTGGTAGGGGAGAGCTTGTTGCTCTTGCTGAAGGGCTGCAAGGCGTCCTGTCTGCACATGGCTTCCATTACCGTTGAAGGGACGTTTACTAGGAGAACAGCAGTATTTTAGAAAATCAGTTTTATGAGCCCTTAAAATAAGCACAAAAACACATGCTTTTCAAAAGTTCCTATAAATCAGCGTTTTAAACATTTGTTTTCCTGGACTTGGAATTAACATGAGAGCGGACAAGTTGACATAAGGAGGAAAGCACAGTTATCTCAGATGATGACATCATTCAGTGCCTATTTATTAAGCAATTACTGTATGCGCGGGACACCATCTTTGATGCTCTGTGAGCTTTGGTTTCGTCATCTTTCAAGCCCTTTTATGAGGCTGAAACAAGATAATGAAAGTATTCATCCAGAGTCCATGATCAACACAGCCACCATTCTCACTGGTACACAAAGAGAAGACATGGCATGATGGACCTAAATGGAGTGGTAATGGGGGGTTTGGGGGGTACAGAAAGAACTAGAAGAAACATTCCTGCGGAGGGGGACCTACAAACTAGAGGTCTGGTCTTCTGTCTTTCACATTGTTGCTGTGTTAACACCACTTGTCTCTTGGATTTACTGGTCAACACAGAGGTTCAGAGGTGATCAGAACCTAATATGCTTATACTTCACTGCTGGTATTGTTTACGGAACTACTGTATCAGTAAAATGTGTTTATGGGTTGTCACAGAGGGTCAAGAGATGAAAGGTCACAGGATGGTTGAGAAGAAAATCAGAGAGTAAAAACTTGGAAAGGATGAGAGGCAAGAAGACTGGAGAAGGGAAGTCAAACAGGGCTGCCGGCCACTGGTTCAGGGCCCCAAAGAAGGAAACAGGGACTTGGGGCCACTCCTCCTTCCCCACCAGAGGCCACGGCTGAGCACAGACCCTCAAACCCCCTCAATTGTGAGTGGCAGAGGGGTGACAGCCAGGAGGTCCCAGGCTACCACTGACGAGACCCAGAGCCATCTGTAGAACCACAGGACCAGATGATGCCCTGAGCGTCTACCAGCACAACCTGCCCTGCCTCAAAAAGGGAAAATACAGGGACTCTCGGACATGGAAAGGGGCACTGGAATGTGTCGAGCTGGCAATTCTTTTTACCCTGACCCTCTATTAGATTCATGGAGATTTTTAAAATAAATTAAATCGGAAGCTCTTGGTAGGGCATCTGCATTTTTCAAGCTTCCCTGAATGCTTGTAAAGGTGTGCAATTAGGGCTGAGAAAGTGACCTTTGCATAAATAAAAAGCTGAAGTCTGACAAGATCCTATAACTTGCTGAGGGTCATACATTCAGTCAAGCTGGAAGGTTTAGTTTTCCAAATTCTTGGGCATTTTTTTTTTCCCTGACCACATGGTATCTGCTGATGAGCTGTGTTTCAAAACCAGAAAGGACATTTTAGAGCTAGCACAGAGTTGTGTGAGTGTCAATACATCACACAGGGCGCATATAACGGGCATGTAAGTCATACAGAAGCACTTGCACATACATGCAGATACATGTGCGCAGCTCAAAGCTCAACTTCTGGAGCAAAAATGCATAATCAGTATGCACTGGGAGTACACATTTTAGACTTTGAAAAAAAAAACCTTTGTATAGACTGTTACTTTTTAAGTAGACACTGAAAGAGAAGAAGGTATACTTTATCACGTTTTAGTACTTTTTAAATAAAAACAGCAGCTTTGTCAGATCAAGGCAGAGCTCATCTTGATCAGCTCTTTTAGAACTAGCCCTGAAGAGACAAAGCAGAGGCTAAGCCACGAGTTTTCAGCCAATGCTAAGCTCCTGTGGGCTGGGAAATGCCAGACAAACAGGTAGGAAGGCGGGGTGGGAAGTTTTGGGAATGAAGACTTATCTACAATGCATGAGAGGGGGAAAAAACAGGCAGAAGCTTGGTTCTTGGAAAGAAGAATATAATGCCTTTGGAGAAGGAAGGCTGATGCAACTAATACTCTCTAAGTCTAGCTTATAGGTTCTGATTTCTCACGCATACTCCTGGAAAGTAACCTAATAAATTAATTTCTGAAAAGCATTAAGGTTACATGACCTGTGTAATAACAAAAGAATCTGTGACCAAATGAGCTGTTGTAAGTTTAATGATTAATGTCAAAATGGTAATAATGAAAAATTCATACTAATTTGGGTTATGTGGGAACTGAGTTAATGATTATAGCCATAAAGCTATAAAAGTAGGGATGGCCGAAATATAATTATTCTCTACTTTATTATTCTCCGCTCTGGGACACCCCCTAACAAATGTCATAAGCGTTCGAGATGCAGGTAGTAACGCTTGTACTCTGAATTCTACTACCAGCATATAGAATTTTTTTAAACTGAACTGATGAATAAATTCAATCCTACTGAATGAAATGAGCATGTGCTTTAAAGAGAAGAAAAATTATAGGAAGGAGTGAATTTCATGGAAGCAACCACTTCATCTCCAGCTTGTCTGCAGAGCTCACGCACATTTACAGAACACTAGAGATTTATAAAGTGTACTGTTTAAAAGCGGGACTTAGAGGCACAAATTATTCTTCCTAAATATCAGCTTCATTCACCAAGGAAATCAAAGCTATTAACAAAAACAGGAAGGGACAGAAATGAATCAGAAGATGCTATCTCGTCCCCACTCCAGACAGTTCAGACAACTGCAAAAGGCCAGAGTTGACTAATTAAAACGACCGAGGAGGATGTGGTTTTCACATGGAGACACAATGAGCTAGTAAAATCTCTTCAGTCTGTAACATAAAGACTCAGGGGAAATCTTAAAGGATAGTCAAGGAAGAACAGACACTCATCAGACCCTAGGAAATTAGAACATTGGACAGAGACACATTCATGTCCTTCAAACATCCTCTTGTCTACTCACCAGGTCACGAGTTCTTACTGAGCATCTACTACATAACTCCTACTGTGAGTGACTAAGCTGACCAAGACAGCCACAGCCCCTGAACAAGATCTTGCCACTTCCCCTCTACAGTGGGACAAATAATAAACATTTTAAGGTGAATCTCTACTCAGTTTCCATTGAGTCTACAATTCCATCCATTGCAAGTTGTACTACTATCAGCCAAAATTAATTATAAGATATCCTTCAAATTCATAAAAATTCAAATGTGACAAACATGAATTTTAGAGTTGTCAACATGCAGTGGCTGTAAGTGGGGTGAGTGCTATGTGGAAGGAGAAGAAAGGCGGCCAGGAAAGCATGCAGCAGGGATAAACTTGGGGTACCAGAGATGGCCTGCCTGAGGCAGTGAGCTTGAATGTGAGCCCTGACGGGTACAGTCATTCGACAGGGGTGAAGGCAAGAAAAGGCAAAGCAGAAGGTCAAACATTGCAGGCTTTGCCACAAAGTCTGTGTGTTCCACTGAGATGGGATGGAACTCAGGAACTGAAAGCAGGAGACTACGGCCCCCGAGAGAAAGAACTGTGCTTGAATGGGCAAAACATGTGTCTGGAAAGATCCCTATAATCTGTCAACTGACTGCTATTTAGGAGAACTGAATGTCCTCTATGGATTTTTACCTAGGGAAATGAACTCGTGTAACAAGTAAATAAGCTCCTAAATAAGGGGAAATGTGACATGCAGGAGCTTCCTGCAATGGTTTGGGCCAAAGCGGAGGGTCAGGCTACCCAAGGAAAAGAAATGCATTTGTAAGAATAACACGCAGCGTTACTTGATAGTCGAATGGATAGATGGGTGATTGAGAGCAAAGGGTTGAAGTTTCTAAGAGCAGCTGGACAAATGGGAGTGACGATTCCTGACCTGGGGGAGAGGAAATTTATGGTTATTCATGGAATAGTTTACGTTCAACTATTGAATGTGAAGTGCCTGAGAGACACACAAGTGAGGATGAGTAGAAAGCTGGAGCGTGGGGAGCTGGGCTCAGCAGAGAAGCCTGAAGTAGCCTCCGAAGCCCCTGGCACATACTCTGAAGTGAACAGCTGTATTGTGAACCTGTACAGTGGCAGGGTTTGTTTGTTTGTTTGTTTGTTTTTAATAATAGTTTATTTTTACATCATTTTGTGTCTTTTTCCATCTCAGTTGTAATCCCCGTGGGCTTCCCATCACCAAATCACCCCTGTGCCATCACCATAGAGAATGGATTTTATTTCTAAGGACAGACTTAGATTTATAGGAAAACTGGTCAGTAGAGAGAGTTCCCATGTGCCCTCTACCTAACCCAGTGCTTGTTATTAACACTGTACATTCAGCATTGTCTGTACAGTTTGTGAGGTACTATCAATACACTGCTATTAACTAAAGTTGGTCATTTCTTCAGATTCCCCTAATTTTTACCTAATGTCCTTTTCTGTCCTAGGATCCCACCCCACATTTCACTTAGTTGTCATGTTTACTTAGTTTCCTTTCTGTTGTGACAGACCTGTCTGTTTTGGGGTGACCTTAACAGTTTGGGAGGTATTGGCCCTATATATTGTCCTCTCTTCTTCTATTGCAACTTATCTTGAGCTCTTTCCTCTTTGCTAGGCAGTATTTGGGGGAGGAAGTTTGTAGAGGTAAATAGCCTAACAGGAACATTTTAGACATCTTGGCAGTGGCAGGGGTTTTAACCAGGGAGTGCTCCCAGGAGGGAGACCTGTTGGGGAGTGAAGCAGCAGAGTGAGCTCTGGAGCTGGGCAGGTCCTTCAGAGTTGTTCTGTTTTCAGACACGGGACTGGGTCCTCAACACCCAGTGCTGTGTAGTCACTGGACAGGGCTGGCTATTATATGGGGAGGGTGCAGTGGCAAAGTGGTCCTCTAAAGCTGGAAGAAGTTTCCGCAGAGATGTCATCTGAGCCATCAGCCTGGACAAACTGGAGGAATGTGTGTCTCCGTGCTGCAGCAAGGCTGGGATCCCGGGAGCAGACAAGAGGTCAGATCTCTCAGGACAGCAGTTTCCCTGGGCCGGGGTCGTTTCTCTCCATGAACTGCCTCGAGTGGGAGCTGTCTTCTGCTGCAACCCTGTGTATATGCCGAGGCACACCTGCATGGTGACTTCTGCACTGCTTCTTACAGGATGCTATAGATTCCTTCAGTTCTTGACCCATTTGTAAGAGATTCTTGGCCCAGGTTTTCCGTATGTAGTAGACTGGGCTGTGTTGAGCGTATGCCGTCCCATGGCTGTGTCTCGTTTCTGAGTGCTTTCACAAGATCCCAAGATGCATACTCCAATGGCCTGTTAACTTCACTGTTGTATTTTTCTAGTCCTTATGCAGGGACAAGCTAGTAACTTCTGGATTTCTGTCAGGAGTCTGATCCGTGCTTCCCACTGTACAGAAGGGGGCTCCCAGCTGCATTAACACTCAGCCCCAGCCTCCCCTGCTCAAGCTCAGTGCTACAGACACTTTCCCCCGACAACCACTCTTTGTATTCTGTACTGTGCCTCCTTCTACAGGGTTCCTTGAGGATAGGGCCTGAGCGTCTACACGACCCGTCAGGGTTCCCACTGGGCTTAGAACACAGTTGTTCTGCTGAACTGAAACTAGCCATCATTTCCCCACTTTCTCCTCATTGGTGAGGTGGTAAGGTGAGGGGCACTTTGTAGAAGTGCCCCTTTTTATTTCTTGCTCCTTAAACTCAAAAGAAAGAGGCAGTGCTAGGGGAGGCAGCGACCCCTGCACTGCCATCAAGTTTCACATTCTGCTACCTCAGCTTTAATACGCCAAGACAGAAAAAGCAGCAGGAAGACTTGTTTAACATTTATTCCCAGGTTTTTTTTTAATTTCCTCTGAAATGAATATGAATACACTCTGGTCTTTACACTCTGCAGGAGCTAATCCCCCACTGGAAGCTTTGGGGAACCTCATTCCTCTGTGCGGATGTGATCTGTCCACACAGACCCTCCTTCAGGCTCTCTGGAGGGCCTCGGTGGACAGAAGGGCTCTCCCTCCACAGTTTTATTACACTTGTAGCTACGGTTTCCTAAAAGAAAATAACACAGGCATTGCTTCCAGAACCCAAATGCCGGTGCGAAATGCTGACTTCTTTGTGAGGCCAGGAGGTTTTCAGTGGCTTGTCCAGACGAGTGTACCCCACGGCTCCCCAGCAGCAGACAGTGCGGGGGGTGTCGGGGGGCAGATACCGAAGCCTGAACTCTCCACATGCACTCAGTCACTCTTTCTTTAATGTCGAAAGAACCATGGGAAGAAGTGATATTTTTAATATATGAAAGTGCTAAATGACTATTATTCACTACGTAAATCATGTTTTCTTGGACTATTTGGGTCCACATGTTCATTTCATTAACAACGAAAAGTATCGCTGAAATAATTCGTCTTTCCAAATAATGGCAATAAAATCCCCAATATATAGCCAGTGAGCATTTATTAATTGTGTGCACAGCACCAGAAGGAGGCTCTGTGAAGGCATTTCGTCAAATAAGTCTTTGATCTCATGAAGCTTCTTTTGAAGGTACCTAATTTATTTTGAGGCAAGCACAGTAGGATAAAACTGGTCCTAGAATTGCTCATCCAGGTGCAATGATTTAAATTACTCAGGGCTGTGGAAAGCTATCTATTAAATTATCTGTCTATGCCCTTTCACACACTTGTGCCTTTAAATCACACAGAGTATTTTCTTTGCACAGAATAAGCAACCTCATTATAAAGCATCATCCCTGGTCTCTCTGTGAATCATATAGAATGAGAATCCATCCGAGAGTTAGAATCACAGTCATCTATCTCCCTCACACTATCTGATGAAGCTTTCTACTGGCCTCGGGTGTGGCCAATCACCTGACAGATACACAACTTTGAGACAGGAACTGAAATAAAATTCCTATAACACCCTGAGGGAGCTAGGTGATTGTCACTGTTGAGCATTTCAATGGCTTCATTCTCTTTAGACTTCCCTCAACCCTTACTTAGAGGCCTAAACTCAACCCAAAAGATCTGTTTCATTAATCACGGAGACCCATAATACTTCAAGCTGCTGTGGTTTTGCAAATTTTCTCCTGAGGATTTCAGTTGCTAAGGGCCTTTCCAGTGGGATATATCACATACTCCAAGCAACAACCCTAAGAATGCTTCACACAATTTGGCCTCCAGGATAAAGGACTTTCAGAAAGCATATTGTTCTTTCTAGAAAGTACCTTTTTTGATGACATTATGGCTCTGAATCAGAAGATGAGATGGAATAGCCAAAGAGACCCATTAAGAGGTAGCTGTGAAGGGCACACGACATGCCTAAATCCTGTGACCCAATCTGTATATCCCTCTTACCATGCAGAGGAAGCAACGTTGAGGACACATTACTTCCACCCCACATCAAATGTCAGAAATGTGTTCTCGAGTCTCTCCATGGTTTCCATTTCCAACTTCTAACTCAGTAAATGGCCATTCCATCCTTTCAGGTCCTCAGACTGAAGCCTTGGAGTTTTCTCAACTCCTTTCTCTCTTACCCAGCAACCAATGTGTCAAGAAATGATGTTGGCTTCCACTTTCAAATCACATCCAGAATTCACCCACCTCTCACAACTGTCATTATTCGTACGTAGGTCCAAACCACTGTCATCTGTCCCCAAAATGCCTGCAAGAGCCTCTATCTGCTGGATGCCTAATCTCCACTCAGCAGCCAGAGTCATCCTATACAACCTCTCAGATCATATCATTCTTTTGTTCAAAACTCTGCAAAAACCACATCACTGTGCCCACACAGAATGAAACCTCCTCTGCTCTACCACATGTCTGTCTCCCTAGCCCCTATGCTCCTGAATATCTGGGGAGTTAATATCTCCCCAACTCAGTTCCTCCACAGCATCCACTGCACCTCAGGGTGCTCTTTCAGCACACCAGGAATATTCCAAATTGGGGCCTTTACACTTTTGGTCCTGCTGCCTGAAACATTCTTCTTCCAAGCACTCATGGCCTGTCCCTTCACCTGTTGGAAACTCAGCCAACTCCCGATACTCTTAGCCCTTTTCTGCTATCTCATCCCTGCACTGATCCTTCTCAGCACCTGCCAAACTATTCATTTACTCATTTATTTGGTAATAATCTATCTTCTTCCACTAGAATGTAAGCTCCAGTAGGCTTTCTCATCTGTTTTCTTTACGGCTGTATTTGGAGCACAAAGCAATGGCAGCAGCCACAGTGTCTGGTAAGTATCTTAGGAATAGCTGCATGAATATCTGGGTTTTGTACTGTGTACCTCAGAATGAGAGGCTCTGATATGTTCTCCATCTTTAGAATCTGTAGTAAACTGCATTCAAGAAGGAAACAGAGGTCTTACAGGATTTATAGACCTCCATACTCTTAAAGGTTATGTCAAGGTTCTAAAGCACACACAGGCTCATGGCAGCAGAGAGAGCTAGATACTTCTCAGTACACGCATCTTGATCTGTTTTCAGATGAGGCAGGACCTGCAACCACTCTGGAAGGGGGAACAGACTGGCCACCATGTCCATCTGCTTCTGACAACCTACCCACGTTCATGTCCAACATGACATGTCCTCCCATGAAAACCAACCCTTCCCCCAGAGAAATGTTACTGCAGAAAAGGAACTTTTCTGCAATAGAAATCTGGGAAGCAAGAAGGATGTATTGTAGGTCTAAGGATTCATTTTTTGACTTGAGACTGGTTTGGGGCTAGGGAAAGTAGAAAAGGAAAGTTGATAGTAATATGCTTTTTGAAGATTGTTTTTTTAATAAAACCATAAAGATAGTATGGAGAGAAATAGCCAATCACCAGATTTTGATCAGGGGTAGTATCAATATTTATACCGAAGTTCATAGGTATGTGTAGATGTATAGAACAGGAGAGACAAAAGGGGGAGAGGAGAAAAGAGACAAGGAAAAAAATAAAATACTACTTTTTTTCTAAATAAAGTTTCTTAAACAGACCTGTTTTGTTTCTCTTTCTGCTGCATAATAGCAAAACCATCAGACTAGTCAACTGAATGACAGAAAAAAAACAGTAGCCCAGAAACCTGTGTTTCCACTGAAGCTCATGAGAATGACCCAATTTCATTATAAATACTGGAAATCACCTTGTAGTATATCTTTCCAAAAACTTGATGAATCAGTCAAATGCAAGTAAAAATCACTGCAAAACTGCATATGCCTAGTAGTTAATTTTTTAAAGATAGGGCTTGCGATGCTAGTGAATATAGAAGAAAATGACAAGATTCATTTTGGACTAAGAAACTCAGACACAAATTCCTCCATCATGTCTACAGATGTTGCTACCATTTTTCATTCCAAGAACTACTGAGGGAAGCCTTCCCGATTAAAGGCCTCTGCTTCTTCTTACTTCATTTTTGCATTCAATATGACTCCAGCAAAACTGTGTACCCCTTCAGAGCAAAGTCCCAACTGCTCTGACCCCACAAGGTGGTAAACACAGAGTCAGACCCCATAATAGATGCTCAGTAAAACCCAGCCTCCTGACGTGGCTGCCAGAGATAATTTCAAACCATGACAAAGGTTCTGAAGTTGTAAACAGGCAAAGAAGGGTTGTCCTGTACAAGGCAAGCAGTCCCACAGAAAAGCAACAGACATAGAAGAGAAGAAAATGCCGGGACAGACTTGAGCACATGTTACGTCCATCAGCAGCAGGGTGCATGGCCAGTCAGGAATTTCCAACAAGCTTAAAAATAGTTAGCTGTGGGCTCTCCCTGGTGGGCCCACAGCCGGTTAAAGCACAGCACTAAAAAGCTAAAGCCACTTCAGCATAAGTTTGATCCCCGCCTGCCCCGGAGGTGACCCACACGGCACGGCAGACCTCTCCTGACCCACCCGCTGCTCCCCTCAGCAGTGTACTTCATCGATCTGCCTGTTCTGCTCCCCGCTCTGTCTCTGGTGAGTCCTCTCACCACCCCTGTGCCTATGGTCTGTACCCCAGTTCTGTGTGCATAAATACATAAATCTTTAAAAAAAATAGTTAGCTATAAAATAGGTATTTTGTGAAGTCAGAGCTAAAAGAAATTCTTACAGTTTTCATCCTGGGCAATGCATTGTAAGGGGATCCCAAAGAAAGACGTATAGCTGTCATTGTACCACACCAGAAGCTCGCTGCCCCTGGGAATATCTAGACAGGCTCGGTAGAATATATTCGACCTATTCAAAACAAAAGAAAACCCGGCTTAGTCATCGGTAGGACTCATGTGCCCCCATCCACATTTTTTATTACCCTCCCCACCCCAAAAGTTCTGCCCAGCTCCACTTGAACATATCCTGTTTGTAATAAAATCTGCACCCACCTTATGGTTCCCGACCACCAATGAGGAGCCTGTAACCCAATATGATAAACAGTGTACACTTTATTTCCAGTTTCCCTTCACAGAACATCTTGGCTGAAGACAGATATTTGGCCCAGGAGGCAACAGGAAGGAAGAGTTGATTTAAAAAAAAAAAAAGGAAAAAGGAAGGAAGAAAGAAAATTCCATCTTCCACTAATGAGAAAATTCTCTCTCTTGGCAAATTGCAGACACGGTTGCCTCAGCCTCAAATATAAATTAATGCTATTGATTTCGTATTTGAAGGGAAAGCATTACGTGCATTCTGGAAACTTGGCAGTGGGTGTTCCCAAATTTGTAATAAAACTAAGCAGTTTTGTGCTATAAGCACCAAGAGAAATAAAAATCTTCCTCATCACCTTTCCTCTCAAGTTTGATACAAGCAAAGAGAAAATTCCTCTTCTGTGAGATGGATAGAAATTCAATAAACACAAGAGGAGCACTTTACCCTGGCTGAAAGATTACACTCTGAAATGATAGAGCGAAGGTAGCAAGAAATAAACATTTTTTATAACAGCTTTGGCACTGTAAAGAAACATCTACAGATTAAAAAAAAATGAGGAAACCGCCACCGACCTGTTTCCTCAATGAAGAATTGCGACAAGTATTAGCCTCAAGTTCAAGATAAAAGTGTTTAGGGTTGGTGGGCCTTAAATGTTGCCTTTCTGTGAGGAATTGGCTGTAGCAGGCAATTTGTTCCTTGTATAACACTGCAGACACAAGGCGAATCCTTCACCACATTTTTCACGGTGGTGAGATATGCACTTGTCAACATATTTTGTCACCACAAAGTGGCTCTTGGCAATAGGATCATAAAGATCAATAAAAAAGTGCAGATTCTCAATATTTTACTTGCAGCTGCAAAAATTTCATTTATCTTGTTATTTTCCTTCACTTGCTGCTGCCATTCTGTCTCACGAGGGCACTGCTAGCTAAGCAGAATGTTTTTCCCAACATTCTATGAATATCTGACAAAAACTCCAGCCAGTTGTCCAGACCTCACCACCCTGCCTCCCTCTGCATCTCTGAGAACGGTGCATTTTATTAATTCTTTCCACTGCTACATAAAAAAATCAAAATTGGAGCCGAGCTATAAATCACTGGCATCTCCTAAGTTGAGAAAAATTGAGTCTACTTTGTACTTCACCCTTGTAACATTTCATCTCTCGGTTTGGCTTCCCTTCATATAAACACAGCGCCCAGCAAATGAATGTGCTAAACCCAAGTGACACGCTTTGCCGCTGAAAGAGCAGAACTGTTTTCAGCAATGGGTGGTCTTCGGCAGCCCGGAGCAGGCCGAAAGGGGGAGAAAAATGTGTAAGCGTACGAGCGGGCAACCCTTCCAACACTCGCAGAAATCTCTGCATGTTGAAGCACATCAAAGGGATTTTTCCCTTTTCAGATAATATTTCCCTTGCTGACATGTATTGAGTATTGTGGTTGGATGACTCATAAAGATAGCTTCATGGCGTCCCCACGCCGTGGAAGCAGAGCGCATGCCAACAAACATTATTGTCAGCCTCAAAATAAAAACAAAACGTTCAGCTGAGGGTCAATCAATCAAGAGCGCTTTGAAGAAAATTCCATTTAGATATTACAAATCATAACAGAATGAATCTAAACCAGCTGACTTTTTGTGAAGAGGACATTCATGTACAATAAAAATTAGACTGGCTCTTCGGGGTCCAACTTTTCTATTTTCTTACTCTTGGACGTGGTCACTGGTGATGGATGCCAGTTTTTTGAAATTGTGTTTTTGTAGTGCGCTTTATAAAGATCTGAAGTAATCGAAAACAGATCGCGGAGAGAACTGGAGGTTTAAGAGCCCTCATGAAAGGGGAGCTATAAAACCCACTTAATATTGACAGATAGGTAGTGATTTGCTCCTACCCACCTCCCTCCCAGGGGCGCCTCCTTTATGCCCAAATGCAGAATTCGCCTCTGGAGTTCCCTGGGGACCCTGGACAGAACCTGCCGGGCTATGTCTTGCTGAATGGGCTGGCACTATCTTGACTAATTTTCTAGCTCAGCGTTTCATAACAACTTCATGGCAGACCTGCAGCCACCAGAGAGGTGAGCGAAGCTGGTCCGTGGCCGAGTCACCCAGCGCTGCTGTGCACCATTTCACTCAAACCATTGCTTAATGAAATGTAGCTGCAGAGGAAACCAAGGCAGTGACTCACCAGTGGTCCCAGTGTGCGCCTTTGAATTGCAGACCTTTGGAGAGTGAGCCAGATTTGTGCAGCCCTTAACCTCTTAGAGGAATAAAGCTTCAGTTGTGTGTGTGTGTGTGTGTGTGTGTGTGTGTGTGTGTGCTTTAAGGCTTCATTTTTAAAAACCAAAAAAAGAGAGAGAGAAAGAGAGAAAATAAATAGCCGCAGGCAGGACTCCAAGGGGCTGAGCCCAGGGCTTTGATGTGTCTGGGGAGCCTAATAAAGCTAAACAGTTGCTTCTGATTCGAAAGGGAACATAGCTGTTTATAACTGAGGTCATATATTTATATGGCACATGTTTTCGAGGGATTCTGAGAAAAGAAGGCTTTGTGGTGGGGCTTTTTTCCCTGTGTGATTTGCTCTTGCCCTCTCGTCTCAGCTCCAGCCTTTTTCGGCCCAAAATGGAAGAGGCTCAGCCAACAGGTGCATGGCAGAAATGGCTGAGCCTCTGAGGGTTTGAGAGTCACCTCGCTTCTCAGCTCTCCGGGGACTGCCCGAGGGAACTTCAGGTCATGAGGCTGGCTTCCTTACCCTTTGGGTGTTACCCAAATATGTCGAGAAACTGGGGCTCCTCTATGCTCTGGAAGCACCTCATCATCTGAAACATTCTCGTTTGACCAAAAGCCAGAGCCAAGTGTCTGGCACCTTTCGAAAGATCAGGAGAGGTAACTCTGGCTCCCTCACTGCCATGGAGCTTGGGGGAGGTTGCCAGTTCTAGTTTCCGGTGCCTGTGTGCAAATGGAGCTCTTCCCCGGGGAGCTAGCAGGAGGTGACTGCAGGTTAGGGAGCCAGAGCTGATTCTCTGAATTCCTATTGATGTGTATGCACTGGGCCGCTGAGGGGAGTGCCCCCCCACCCACACACACACCCCAGCCCCTGGGCTGGCTGGGCTTTTTCAGGTCGTTTTGGAAATTCAGGCAATGAGGTGGGAGTTACTTTAGCAAGTGTGCTGAGTGAAAGAGGCCGTCTATGAGCACTGGATTCCTGAATTCTCATAAAACCACTATTGCAAGAAGTAAGGTTTTTGAAACCTAGCAAAAACAGAAAAGAAAAGAAAAGAAAAGAAATTCTGCCAGTCCTTGCAAAGTTGTGCAGGATTTTTTTCAAACCTAGCGGCAAGCCTGGATTTGCATACACAAGCTAAAGGGCTTCAGCTCTGTAAGTGGTAAATCAAGATATACTTTACCTGTACTGAACTACTGTTAGATTCTGTTCTCCGCAGTGCCTTGCACACCGGATATACCTCATCCAGCTCGACTTACTAGGTTCCCCACCATCAATAAAGTGCTGTAAGGTCCCATCTTGGTCATATATCTAGAGAAGAGGTCAGAAGGTCAAGTAGTTAGAACGAATCATCAGTAATCATTTTCCCGGCTTCCCTCAGTGTCTTTATGTGTCTGCTGCAAAAATTGATGGCCTTAGGTTTGCTGGCGCTTACTGATGCTTGTGGAAACTCAACTGGAATAACAGGAAAATATGGTTTGGTGATGCAAGTCGATCACGTTTTTCTTATCAAGCCAATCTTCTCTGGATTAAACATACTTGCGGTATCTCAAGGATGTGAGTGACCATGTTTCCCAAAGAATATTTAACCGATTTTGACAGGCTACTCTTAAGTAATGAGCTGCTGGATAAACAAAAGCAAGCTGAAGGGAGAGGCCACATGGATGCAGTTGGAACGTCCACAGAAGAGGCCCCTAGTTTCAGACACTGAACTACTCAAAGGCATTAGGGGAGGCAGGAACTGGCTCTTCCACAGACTGGGTGCCACTTAGCAGGGGGCAGCTGGAGTGCGAGCCTGGCACAGAATCTAATTCAGATGGATAAATGATCTCTCACCTCTCAGAGGGCATAGGACGTCAGCTGTCAAGGCCTGAAACTATTAGGAGAGGAGGGTCACAGAAGACAGGCCCTCGAAAAAGGGGAGAACATCAAGGACTGGTTCCTCAGAATTTTAAGTGCCCTAACTTAGGGTGGTCTCACAAAGATGGCCTCAGGTCTCTGCAAGGAGATTCTCTTTCAAGGTAGCATTCCAGGACATGAAATGATCAAAATAGACAATAAGAAAAAGTCTTATGCAAAATAACTAGCTGGCCTGATAACACACAGAGGCCAACAGATCCTGCTTCCAGAAACTCCAGCAGCCTCTGTGTGTTGGGGGGCAGAGTGTGGGGAAGGGGGAGGCGGGGGGGGGGCACTGGTATCTAGAAGATCAGTCGGTCAGGGGGTCACTTAGACTGTGTAATTACTTAAGGTCATCCCCAGGCCTTGGGGCATCTTGAAAGCTGGTGGAGGCAGGGAAGCAGCTCTCAGAATGGCCACTGTAAGACTGGATCTTTTCAAATGAAATCGGCTGTGGGACCCTGGTGGGTTGTGGAGGGATTCTTTAAGAAACCCTGAGAAATCACACCTAGTTGACTGGCCCTCCCAAAGAGACCTGGAGAGTATGTCATACAGAGCACCCCACTGGTTACACTGGGGCCCTAAAAGTATATGATCATTTATATTAATTCAGCTCAGATTTCTATTAAGAGGGCCAAAGGGAGCAGGAATGACAGTTTCTTTTTAGTATCACCAGCCATTAAAAACCACATGGACTTCTGGTGTATGGGTTTTTTTGGTTTTTTTTTTTTGTATATTTTGAAAGCTCATGGCTCTCCACCTTCCCCCAATCCTCTAACCCCGTCGAATAAAAAACATATCAATCTACCAAAGACAACTGTTCAAGAGACTGTGACTGGCTGACAGGTCAGAGTGATTATGGCTGGTAATCAATGGAGCCTGAGAAGAACGAAGGGCTTCCTGGATTATATTGTATTTACCAGTAATGGCTTCTTTAAACTCCTGGCTTGGGATGATGGCAGAGAATGGAGACATCGCGTGTGGTGGAGAAACCTGCTACTTGGGTAGTCAAGTGACAGACCCCGACTCAGCTTATATTACCCTGTATTATTCTGTTGATATGGTTTTGTTTTTGGAAACCGGTTCAAAGATTCTAAGGCTTGCCCCTGAGTCCACTGTTGACAGCCTTCCTGACACTGAATGAAGTCATCAGTTCCTAAAGTGTCACTAATACCTATAAGGGGGTAAAAAAGGTCAATGACCAGCTCCCTACCCTGTCCTTCTCCCTCACACTTGAAAATGAGGATAAAAAGTGTGTCCTACACTCTGGTTATCAAGCAATAACTTAACAAAGTATATGGCAACCAGAGGGATGTGTAATGTTTGCCTGCATTTTGCCTGCCTTGCTGAAACCACTACTGGCCTTAGGAAAAGTAGACACTTTCCCCAAATATCACACAAACATCACATGAGGTCAGGCTTCCATGAGTCTAGTAACGACCAATAGCATACACAATTCCATCTGAGACCATGAGAACATTCTAAGACTCTATTAGCTCCCATAATGGAGTTCAGAGTGGAGGAAACCCTCTCCACATCGATACTATTCTCTTCCTCGGTCCTCACTTAACCCTCTTACTTATTGTTCCTGGCATGCGCCACTCCCTCTCCTGTGACCATCCTAGCCCACATAGCCTGCTTTCTCCCCTGAAGTACTCAGCAGTCTCGTAACTGTTCTCCCCACAACTTCCTTCAACCTAGCCTCTTCACAGTAGCCGGTGACTCTGAACCACAAATCTGATAATCTGTTTCACCCAACTCTCCCACCCTCCAAAATAAATGTTTCATTTATGTCGTCATGATAACCTAAATTCACAGCATGAGGGGTCTCCTCAAGGAATTTCATCACACTAACGTGGCAGTCATATCATCCTACCAGCATAACTGTGGAGAACAAAAATGTCTGCCTTCTGCATCTCTCTCCAGGCAATCGGAGCTGGTTCTGGTCTGTACTACTGAAACCTAACACTTAAGCCAGGGTTTCAGCCTAAGTGCCGAACCCCAGATGAGTGGATTAAGATGTGGTATATATTCCCAATGGAATAAAAACATGCAGCTATTAAAAAAAAGATCAACTCTTGCATTTTAGCAACACTAATGGAACTGGAGGGACTTTTGCTAAATAAAAAAGTCAGAAGATGAAAGAAAAATATTGGATAATTTCACTTACATGCAGAAAATAATGAAACAAAAGAAAGGGTTGGGTAAAACCAAACCAAATGGATACAATGGCCTATGGGTGTCTTGTGGGGACTGGGGGTGCTGACAAGTCTACAGAGGTGTGACCCTGTACCTCTGAATGCTGTAAACCAATGTCTAAAAAACAGAGAAGTTCTGGTAAAATTGAAAAGACAAATTGGCCCAAACACACTGGTGTCTATTTGAATTCATCCATCAAGACAGGCGACTACATTTGGGAAAGACAAGATATGGAAATGAGAATGCTGAGTAGGAATTAAAGATGACTTCTCAGGACAGCTCCAGGTACTAATTTGAGATCTATTATAACTCTGCAAAAGGAGGTCGATTTGGTTCTTCATATATAAGATTTCTTTATGCATACAGAACTGGGGTACAGGCCAGAGGTGCAGGAGCAATGAGAGGATTCACCAGAGACAGAGTGGGGAACAGAACAGGCAAATTAACTAAAACACACTGCTGAGGGGAGCAGCAAGAGAGATCTGTTGCGCCATGTGGATCTTACCTCCTGGGCCGGGCCAGGGATCGAACTCTTGCTGAAGCGGCTGCAGATAGCTTCATAGTGCTGTGCTTTTAACCTGTTGTGCCGCCAGGGAGGGCCTTACAACCTGGTTCCCATTTAAGCCTTGAATGAATGACCTCTTTTTGATAGTGGATGTCCCATGAAGGGGGGAATCCTACACTTTATTATGGAGTGGATGCAAATCAGTATTAAATGAATGGATATTTTAAAAAACAAATGGAAAAGAAAAGGAGGGAGTAAATTCTCCAAATAACTGAGTAAGGGCGCTGGGCTTCAACCCATCAACAGCAGGAAATACTCCAAGTTTCCATCTACATCAGCAGCAACATTTTCAAGTTCAGGAAGCTGCTATTGGTGGCTGCATTAAAATCCACATTTGTCTAACACGAAAATGGAATTTTAAGTGAGCTTCCTAATAAGTCTAAAATACTTAAGGAATTTGAGAAGATGAAGTAAGGTCAAGACCCCAAGTTATTTTGTTTCCATTACCTTTAAACGAAGGGTGTAAAAAAGCAGAAAAATATTGAAAATCGGGCACAGAGTGTTTAGACAATCCCTTCAGGACTAATGAAAAATGTCAAAGAGATCAGAAATCCTATCCATTCAAATAGTGAGTGCGAAGAGAGTGAAATGTACATTAACAGTTGTTCTGAGAGAACCCTTGAATATAAGCAAAGATTGGCTGACACTGTATGCTTTTTTTATCTGGAGCTAACATGAGCAAGTTATAATATTTGTGTTGTTCCCCCCCACCCCATTTTTTTTTAAAGATTCATTTATGCACATAAGAAGTAAGGATACAGGCCAGTGGTGCAGGGGGGTGAGAGGATTCACCAGAGACAGAGTGGGGAGCAGAACAGGCAGATCAATGAAGTACACTGCTGAGGGGAGCAGTGGGTGGGTCAGGAAAGGTCTGCCGCACCATGTGGGTCACCTCCTGGGCCGGGGATTGAACTTGTGCTTCAGCATCTGTGGAGAGCTTCACAGCACTGAGCTTTGAATTACCTGTATTGTCCTTTCTAAAAGCCTTGAGCAAATGACCCTTTTGAGGTAGGAAAAGTATCTGCAAAGAAAGACACAGGATATTTGGTGGGGAAAGGGTCAACTTCTGCAATGCAAAACCCTCAAAATTCTAGAATGCATAACGGGCATATTTGATTTACAAATTTAGTTCCAGTATTGCAGAAAGGGAGGCTATAATGGCAGTCATGCTGAAACCATTTTGGAAATACTGAAACAGAGTGAACAGTGCAGAGCTGGATGACTCAGGAACTCCGCCACCAGGGATCACTGCCATGAAAATAGCACACGGTGCCTAGAGGGTCAAGTCCCGGCGCACCGCTGTGGGAAACAGTGGCTACAGCTATCAGAAGAAGAGTAACAGATTCTGGCTTATTTATTCAATAAAGCCATGTACTAGATCCATTCATACGAAGATGTAGTTGATACAGATAAATATCGAAAACAATGTTAAATAAGAAAATCAGGTGGCAGACTGGTACACATGCATTTGCTAACAATTCAACATATAAAAAACGACAGCCTTAATAGACTATAATAATGTATATTGCAATAAATACTTTTTCATATTTAAGTATCGAACACAATTCTGAAAAGGCACATTGGGAGGATAAATATAGTTTTATCAGCATAGTGGTCTTGGGAATGAAGGGAACTACTACTCTGTCTG